TAGCGTTCTATGCGGCGGCGCTTCTTCTCTCTCTCTCTCTCTCTCTCTCTCTCTCTCTCTCTCTCCTTTCTTTTACACGCTCGATGCGCGGAATGCGAATCATGATGAAGGCTGAAAAAAGGCTTGTGTTGTTGAGATTATCGAATTTTTATTCGAATTCGAATCGAAAAATTGTTTTTCAATTGAGAGAAAAGTATAAATACTTTTAATACTTTTTTTTCGAACGATTGTTTGCGATTGTTTGAATTAGCAGGAGTTGGTTATTTTTATAAGATAATGTGCGACGTATTTAATTTCGAATTTCAGTCAAGGAGTAACGTAAGATTATTTAATAAAAAAAAAAAAAAAAAAAATAGTTGTCGATTCACAAATTCTCTCGTCGTAACTGCGAAAAAAAAAAAAAATCGATAAATCGTTTTTCTCATTATCGCGCGCCAATCTACGCGCAAATAGAGTAATCTATGTAAATAGGAAATTATTTAAATTAATTCTTATCGGATATTATTGTGTTCCATCGAGGTGGGCGATCGATTGCTCGAGTTTTTGAATACTTAATCTCGATACGAAATCGCGACGCGTTGCAGATTGGTTGGGTGGATAAGGAAGGAAAAAAGGAGAAAGAAGAAAAAAAGAAACCGACCGAGTTGCGATTAAGAAAATGGAAAATCTGCAATTCAGAGCGAATCGAGCACGATCGTACGTGCGATATGTAATGGAAAACTGGGTGGGAAAAGCGATCGAAGCGCACTTCGGATCCTTTATGATTAACGAGGAAATTGTTTATGCGCCTCCTGCGTTTTTGTCCCGTTATCGACGTCCCCCCAACCGCATTATTCTTTTCCTTTCTTTCAACTAATTATATCATCTCCCCTTTAAACGACTGAAGTAGTCGATTAAAGTTTTTCGGCCAGAATTCTAACCAAACTTTCCCTTCATCTTTTTCTTTTTTTTAGGATCCTAAAGATAAGATATCTCTTTCGACGAAACTCGATCTCCGCGAATGAAGATGGCGCGTGGGAGGAGGAGAGCGCATGCGTGCCTCGACTCGAGCAAAACTTCAAACCTTCATCTCCTAACCTAACTCTTTCGAACCTCTCGATTCGTTCAAATCGTTCTCAAAAAAAAAAAAAAAAAATTCGCTTATTTTCCATAAGGAAAAATAAAAAAAACCTCGAAACCACTTACCACAAAAATGGCAGTTCTGCTCGTTAACAACCGGCACGCGCATCAATTTCATCCTCGATTCCCTTCCATCAAGGAGAATTCGCACAGGTGGATCGTTAGTTAATACGCAAACATCATCAAAGTGTCCTTAGCGCCTCTCTCGACGTGGAAGACTTCTTCATCAGAGGTCGTTAACTCGCCTGTAAACACGATGCCGCCATCAAAACGTCATCAGTTACGCGAAATTGGAGAAAAATGGCGGGCGAACGGTAAAAACCGCGGTTAACCGGACGTTGGACGTTCCTCCATCGTTGGCCGACGAGCGAACGTTCCGCGTCCTCGTTTCGATTATTATTAACCGTCGAGCCACCTGCGATTCCACACACGAGAACTCGATTCGTTCGAAGATCGAAGAGATTACGCTCAAGTTGGAGGTTGGGTTCAACCAAATAAATAAATAATGATTATATAGGACAGTTCATGGAAAGGGGGATTATTATTCCTAATTAATAACGAGGCTCGTCGAATTACGGATCGCGGGGAATTAAGTTGAGTTTCGATACATTATGGGAGGGGGAAAGGATGGAGGCGATTTGATCGGATGACGAACAACGAAATTCCTGGATAAGGACAACGCGCGAGTTGTGAAAGAGCGTGTAGAAATTGCTCCAATTACGGAACAGCTCGGCGCCGATTCGATCTTGCGCGCAAGAAATATTCCGACCGAGGTGGAAGCGCTCGACGAGATGACTGACACTTGAAGCGGCGTTATTTATATTAATTACGAACGAGCGTGGTAAATTGAATAACGTTGCATTTGTAATTCCGTTTGATATCTCCGCGTGAAAGAAGCGTGAAGTTATATTACTGTGTAACGTTGCTGTAACATAGTTTACACGTACCGTCGATCGAAAAGAGTGGAAAGAATTGAAATCGCGAATGTAATTGCCGCTCCGACTCTTATTACAATTGTAATCGTACCATGACCAATTAAAAACCTTTACGAATATATATATATATATATATATATATATACATACACATATAAAGAAACTTTGTGAAACTTAATTTCGATCAGATTCTGCTGATCATTAAATTATTCCTCTCGAAAATATTTTTTCCGCTTCTATTTTTTTCAAGTTGGTACGAGAACTTACTTATTTACACGCAACTCCTTCTCCTCCTCGCTTCTACAAGAATTTGTCACGTGTCGCACAAATTGGAAGAAAAAAAAAAAAAAAAAAAAAAAAACGTACATCATACGTTGACACACGGAACAATTGCACAAACTTTTTCACCGAGAAACAAACTTTCGAGGCACAAAATTACGCGGGTGGATCCGAAGACGAAAAATCGCGTCTCGAACAACAACGATTCCGCACCGCGACATCCGGTGTGGAACGAAACCGGAAGGGGAGGCCTTCGATCGAGTTTCTCGAATGAAGACAAACGGCCCCGGCTCCGCTCCGGGACGCGCTCACCTACCAGTTTCCATGGATCTTGGCCGAGTCTCGCCTCTGAATCCACATCCGAGTGCGCGAGAAAACACGGCAAGATTAATGATACGCCTGACACGGAGGGGGGGGCGGAGGGGGAAGGGGGAGGGTGGCGAGTCTGGCGTCTCTCTGCGAGCAGCAACGGCGACGGCGGCGGAGGAGGAAACACCAACCGCAGGAATAGCTTTGCTACTTTTCACTTTGCCGCGCGTCCTTTGCCTCACCCAGAATTGCATAGCTTGTCAATCATCTCGCCCGGGCAAGCGACACCTTGCACCCCCCCTCTCTTCAGCTTGTTCTTGCGAAAGAACCTTATCCTCGCTGGAGGATATTGCCTCGAGTTGCCCGCCGAACACGATTTTGTTACTAGCTGCAGTCGTTGTTTTATTTATATCTTTCCACGCCAAGAAGAGCGGAATGCGGAATTCCCTATTTTCGCCCTCATCAGTTTCGACAGTTTTTCAATTGGAACGTGGAAATTGGAATCGGAACGAAATTTTGTAAACCAGCCTTTCACCTCTTCAGCCTGGACACCTCTCTTTTATCTTTTCGGTAAGAAAAAAGTGAAATACGCCCCGAAAATACGCTCCTTTCGTTATCGCAACCGCATCGGGAATCGAACGAAATTTTCTCAACCTTTTTTTGCACTCGTACGTCGCCGTACGGGCGACACGATACGGCGTCTACCGTTGCACCACTCGTATGTCGCCGTAGTACAGTCGTCATCCTATATTTTATTGTTATTGTACGTATATTTACATCTACATAGTGAATATACGCGTAAACACAATTACATTCTATACGTGTGTAACATAATTACATTCCAGGAGCTCTTGTTATCTCGATTGGTAATCTTTTCAAATGAATAAACACGAGTGCAAAGGATTAACGAATAAACACGGTGAAACGAAGTCAACGCGGTTTAGAACGAAGTTGGCTGGATAAACGTTCGACGCTAGCGACGCTCGTCGGAGAAAACGGAATCGACTAACCCGAATATATTGGTTATTCGGTATTTCGAGGAAGAAAGAAGATTGATTTTTAAGGGGAGTGGAATTTTGATTCGTCGACTTTCAATTGCGAATGCAAAGTTGCGATTTAAAATATCGAAGGGGAATGATTTTCACGAATTATTTCTCGTCGAGGTGATAATTGCTTGGGAGGAAGGAGCGGGGCAGGGGGGGGGGGTGGAGGAATGGATTGAAACAACGATAGATGGAAACGATATATATCGGGATCCCGCGACTTTTTGCCGGCCGGCCTAATTATGATTTATATCTGTTCCCCGCGTAACGTATCTGATTTAGTTTTCGTAAATCACGTCGTTCCACATTTTCTCTCGTTCGAGTGATTGATGAATTCCGGCCGATTAACATTCCAGCCTGACATTCCAGCCGCTCGTTAGCCGCTCGAGATCGGAAAACCGAAAAACCGTCGCGTTAACAAAAAAAAAAAAAAAAAAAAAAATAAAAGAAATAAATAACCGCAAAATGCGGTTCAACGCAATTTTCATTACGTATCCGCGAATCGTTCCGCGATGTAAGTCTTCTCATTCGAGTAGAAGACAGAATTCACGCGAAACAGCATTGTTCCGCACTCGACGGTTCGCGTAACTTTTTTCTTGGAAAAGAGAGAGAGAGAGAGAGGGAGATTGTTGGAAGGAAAAGGAGAAATATGACATTGCCATCGCTATTTTTCACGATTGGTTTCGGATAATTTATCGTTTTTAACGACGACGCGGGAAGTAGTTTAATTCAATATCCAATGGATTAACTCGGTCGCAATAAATCTCGAGGCTGATATCGCAGTCACCTTTTGTTTGTGTCCCGGCGAATCATCATCATTGATCACTGTCAACGATCCCAAGATCTTTCTATGTAATAAGTTATTGTATTTACATCGTCCGTTCCCTTACTTAAATATTCTCGCGAATTTCTCCCTTACTTCTTATCAATCCTCCTCCTTCGCCCTTTCCTCGAAAGTTGAAAAAGAAGTTCCCTGCATAACCGACTCTCCCGACTTTTCACACAACAAGCGGAATTTGGAATCCCGTTCGGTTTCGGCCAGATCCAAATCATTTACGATTCGTGCAAAATTCGATCGTCTGGACAGAGAGAAAAGAATACGCAATTTTCGAGGAGTAAAGCGGAGAGTAGGAGTTGCGACCTTGGTCGCCGGTGACTGATGGCGGATTCTCGATCACGATTCTGGATCCCTCGACGGGTCGAGAGAAGAGGAGACAGAGAGAGAGAGAGAGGGAGAGCTTATCCCGGATTAGTCCTTTTTCGTATATATATTTTTTTTCTCTCGCGCGCAAGAAATTGGACGAATGGAGGGTTTAATGGATTTTTAATTAGGTTCGAAAAATTCGAATTCGAAAGAGAGGATCGAAGATTTTTTGAGAGACTAATTTTATCGATACACGGGAGGATGGCTCGTTGGAGGCTCGTACGAGCTGCTCGAGAACGGCAACGACCCAATATCGGTATGCAAATCAGCCTTCCATCACGAAATGGAACTCGAAGGGGCGCACCGTCTCTTTCGACGCGTCCAATCTCTTCCCTCCTCCCGGAGACATCCTCTGATAAATATAAAGCAGCGCGTTGCCCGGAGGTGGTCTCCTCCCTCCCCATCCCTCCTTTAATTATATATCTCCTTGTAATTCCTAATTATTATGCGCGAATCTCTCTTATTTCCCCGACAAGATGAGACGATACAGATACAGAATAGAAGAAAAAGTGGAATCCAAAATTCTCTCGTATCGAGCCGTTTTATCTTGTGGCCGCTAGAGGAGCGGCCATCGCTTCGAGTAGAGGGCGGCTTTGGGACGCGTTTCGAGCGCAACACGTGTGGACGGAACGAGGTCGGCCGGTTGAGATCCGTTGTGAGCGCCGCTTCGCGCTGTAATATTAATGATGATGGCCGGCCCTCGCCTCTCCTATCTATTCCGTCCTCGCCACGATCGCACGGGGGATGCAATTTCTGCGATAATACTCCTTCGAGGCCCTATTCGTTAATATTAATAACCCGGTTAATATCAATATCGATGAGCCCGTTAATGGCGATCGGTATCATCACTGTTGCGACGGTTCGTCCGCCATTTTTTTTTTTTTTCGAAATTTCTCTTTCCTTTTCAACCTTCTTCATCGGGTTTCGAAGTAGAAGGGAATCTTCGAACGCTTTCTTTCGATCGTATCGATTTACCCATCTTTCTGCAAATTCTCTCGTGAAAAAAGTATCAGGGATGATATAAATGTCGAAATGTCGTTATTAAATTATGTTGGTCCAGGAGATATTTAATTGTTTTGGGGGATCCATTTTATTTAGGATCGGAAGAGAAGTTTCCCTCGAAGAAATCTGTTCCCTCGTTGTTGGCACATTAGTCAAACAGTTTTTGCAACGGGTGAAACATTCGTTGAAACTCTCGTTGCAAGAATAATGTCATCGGGCAATTTCACGATCGCGCTCCACGATTAATGAGTGTCCATCGTTCTGAGGAAGAGAGAGAGAGAGAGAGAGGAGAGTAGTTGAAGAAAATCCACTAGATTCTTAACGAGTGTATAAATATTTAATGAACGCGTTCCGTGAAATTCCATCTGATTTATGAACAATTATTTGTCTCGATCGTAGTTTCAATTATCCTTCCCCCCCTCCCCCCTCCCCCTCCCCCCCTCATCTCGATATAAATCATCGTAACGTTGGAGCGATTTCTTTTCGTTTTTTTTTTTTTTTTTTAAACTATCATCAACCGATTTCAACCGTTTTTCAAACCTACCCGTTGCCGTGACGCGTCGTTATTATCCAAGTAAGTTGGAAAAAGAGGAATAAGTATAATAATATTCGAGTCGAC